AATCCAAACTCACATAACAACTCTCCAAACGAGGCTAATAATTTGACCAATATATTTTGTCTTTATTATTCTTCCTGTATTAATTATACAGACCATGGCTATAGTTGTCACACGGTGAAGAGCTGTATCTCATTAACTCGTTAAGTTCAGTTTACACAAATGCTTTCTTTTCTTCATCAGTTGTTATGTATAATTAATGATGTATAATTAAATTATAGCTTTGTATTACTGCCATATGGACATACTCATCTCAGGCTGATAACAGAATACTTAAATTATAACAATAAAACAAACATTTTCTGTAAAGCTGCTTTGAAAAAATATGCATTGTGAAATCTTGAACTGAACAGAATTTTCTGTATAGACATATTTTTTAAGTCATAGGTTTGATTATGTGGTTAGTTAAATTCATGTATTCGGGTTAAGCAGACACCATGAACGTGTTTGGCCGAAATTACAACTTGTAATGATTACATTATCAGGATAATATAATATTTGAAAGTTTTGTGTGTTGATCCAAAGTTGCGGTCATCTGAAAAATAAATTGGCACTGACACTATTGGATGAGACCAAAACATAAACTGAATTAAGCTAAATAATGACACTGTTTTCTGTAGAACTGCTTTATAGCTGAATCGACTTTGTTTCATAGTTGACGAATTTTGCAAGGCTGACACACTGAATCAACACTGAACTGACTCAAAGTGAATAATGACACTTCTGCTTATCTGAATTAAAATAATTTCATGATGATGAACTTTCCTCAGTTACTGAACTGAACACTGAACTGAATTGAATTCTTTTTGGCATCCTGTTTATCAATTTAAACCTGCTTTGAAACAACCGGTATTGTTAAAAGCGCTATATTAAAAAAAGCTGACTTACTTGACTAGAGTAAATATTCCCTTTTAAAGAAGAAAAGAAAGCAACACCTTAAACATCCTTTGCTCAAAACAGCAGCATCACCTGCTTTTCTTGTGCAGACCGCTCAAGATCTGCACTTCAAAGCCTTTGGCTCCTGAAGTACTTCTGAAAGTGGTACTGGGAAGCTCATTTGCATTTCAATAGCATGGGTTTCGTATCTTAAAAGACCAAAAACCAAGTTTAGTCTCCCAGCAAGATCTGCTTTACATCACAAATGGGCTAAGCCAAAAATAGCATCTGTGCAGTAAATCAAATCAAATCAAATCAAATCACATTTATTTATATAGCACGTTTAAAAACAACACACGTTGGCCAAAGTGCTTTACATATAGCCCAGCACATATAATCTAAGATTATAAAACAAAGTATAAAACAATTGCAAGAATTTAATTACAGTCAAAAGCAAGAGAGAAGAGATAAGTCTTTAAAAGAGATTTAAATGCATCAAGGGTGGCACAAGATCTAACATGGAGGGGTAGACTGTTCCATAAACAGGGAGCTGCAACAGAGAAGGCCCTGTCTCCTTTTGATTTAAGTCGAGACTTTGGAGTGGTTAACTGAAACCTATGTACAGATCTTAAAGGCCTAGAGGATGTATGTTGCTGAAGAAGTTCACTAATGTAACTTGGTGCCATCCCATGTAAGCCCTTAAAAGCAAATAATAAAATCTTATACCTAATCCTAAATTTGACTGGAAGCCAATGAAGGGATGCTAGTACAGGTGTTATACTCTCATACTTTCTTGTCCCGGTTAGAAGCCTTGCGGCAGCATTTTGCACTAACTGCAGACGTGAAAGTGATGCATGAGAAATACCATAGTACAATGAATTACAATAGTCCAGTCTGGACGTAATAAAAGCATGCATAACAACTTCCAAATCATGAAAAGACAGAAAAGGTTTCAGTTTCGCTATATTCCTTAATTGGAAGAAGCCACCTCTAACCACAGAATTAATATGCTTATCAAATTTTAACTCTGCATCAAAAATAACTCCAAGACTCCTAGCTTGATTATGAACCTTCGGTTTAAAAAGGCCTAATTGATTAATTATATGTTTAGTAGAACTAGGAGGGCCAAACACTATCACTTCAGTTTTTGAATCGTTTAAGTGGAGGAAATTGGCAGACATCCACTCCTTAATATCATTAAAACAATCAAAAAGAGACTGCAGGGCTGAATTATCCCCCATTTTTATAGGTAGATAAAGCTGAGTATCGTCGGCATAAAGATGATAATATATATTATGTTTTTTACAAATATCCGCCAATGGAAGCATATAAATAGAGAATAGGACCGGACCCAATATTGATCCTTGTGGAACCCCACACTTCATAAGAGCAGACGTAGACGAAAAATTACCTAATTCAACAGAAAACGTTCTCCCAGAAAGATATGAGTTAAACCAATTAAGAGCTTTTCCCTGAATCCCTGCCCACTCTCTTAGACGCTCCAGTAGTATAGCATGTACTATAGTATCAAATGCAGCAGTCAGATCAATTAAAACTAAGATTGCACACTTTCCTGAATCGACTGCTAAAAACAAGTCGTTTGACACTTTGAGAAGGGCTGACTCTGTACTGTGTTTAACCCTAAATCCCGATTGGAACTTATCAAAAAACCATTTTCATTTAAATAAATAGAAAGCTGTTGAAAGACAGCCTTCTCTAGAATTTTTGAGAGGAAAGACAACTTTGAGATTGGATGATAGTTCTTTAAATCAGATGGGTCCAAGTTGGGCTTTTTTTAAAAGGGGTTGCACCACTGCATGCTTGAAGCAGGACGGCACAACACCACTCAATAAGCTGGAGTTCACAATCGACAAAAGATCTAAACCAACCACATCTAATACCTGAACAAGGAGGCGCGGGGGAACAATATCTAAAGAACACTGAGTGGGCTTCATTTTGCAGACTAAGTCCACCAGATCAGGGAATGAAATTTGTTTAAACTCACTTAAATGTTGTACTAATGAGGGTGGAATGACATAATCAAGGATGATGCTTGAAGGTATAATACTAGCTGTAAGAGCATCAATTTTGTTAATAAAATAGTCTAAAAAGCTTTCACATGTTAAATCATAGGCAAGAACCAGCGAAGTGAGTTTGATATTTTCCATGCATGCTCGGTTCACACGTCAAGCCATCATCGACTACACCACACCTGCACACCGAAGTAACTCAAACTCCCACCGCACATCTAATCAAACATTCGGTTAGGCAGCAGACGGCCTGCTCGTTGCGGTTTCTTTTCTGTTTTTCCTGAGATGAAAGAGCGATATCCGTAATGACAGTTTCTTCTCCAGCCGGCCTTCTTTGTCTTGCGTGCTCTGCTCCTTTTATTATCTTCTGTCTGCAATCCTTTTCCCAGGGCCTGAAAACTCATTATTCACACAAATTGATGTGATTACCAGTTCTCAACAATACACCCCAGTGGAGATTTCTTGGATTTCATTTGTTCTTAAATCATACTGTCATGTTCAAATGGAGCCTGAGGAATTAATTTTGACCCTTAATTGTGTCAAGGAAAAAAAACGTTGAGAAAAAAGTAATAAGCTATTCTGCATTGTACATTTGTTTGACTATCCAATCTTTGAAGGATATATTTTGTGGTAGTTCCAGCTGCTGGATAGCTTGTGTGTGAACGACATTCTCACTGAATATTAAGTGAACTATAAATACTTTTCTCCTCACCCTATTTTCTCAAAATTTTCTTAATGCTGCAGTGTAATGAGATATAATGTAGTTGAATAAATGGGATTTTAGATAAATCATTACCGGAAAATAACCTTAAAGAACATTTTAGATAACTTCTGGTCGGAATAACATTTCTGTTTCAATCTACAATCAATGTAAAAGGTAAAAATGCAGATGTTATCATAATGAGCTTTTTTATTTTCTTTAATTTAACGTTGTATAATTTCATGCAATTCTGGCAATCATTCTGCGGTGTGACACGTATAATTCAAAGTGACCCCCCCCCCCCCATTTTTCTACAATAATTAGACATGCATAAGTTATAACTTCATATTAACTGAGAGGCCCATGCAATACTGACACTGATTAATGCATTTTGTTCTGGGTCTGTTAAGTTATTGAAAGAAATACATTAAAAAAAATCTAATTATACAAACATGAGCACACCCCTACTAAGATTTGACATGTAGCCTAGGCCTATATGCCTTTTTTTGTGGGGCTTGAAGTCAAAAAGGACTAACTGGCATGCGTTTAAATACTTAAATAAAATAAAATAAAATACAAATAGCTTAAGTAGATTAAAACAAAATTATATCTGAAAACGTTTGTCAATTAAATCAAAGACAGTTGGGCGTAACCAAGGTTCTGGCCCTGGGTGTAACCACGCAGCCGGCAGGAAGCCATTTTTGTCAGAAAGTCGAAAACAGAGGAGTCGTAGATCGTTGTGTCTGTGTGAAGTTAATTAACTTTTTTTTTTCTTTTTTTTATTACATATTTCGACATTTGATACAAAGGCGCGTTTTCTTCGGGTGAAACGGGATAGGCGCACCCTGCGCACCCTGATATTGCTAGCGTTCTGCTTTTTGGACAAAATATTGCGTTATAGCCTGTGTATTCGACGTGCAAGACAAATAGCCTATATACCCACTTGAAAGTTACAGCATTTTAGATTTTTTATTTGGTTTTAATGACATCATCCGATAATGTAAGTTCACCCGCCTACAACATCGATGTAGAAAAAAAGTCATTTTGACGAGACATTTATTTTCAGTCAATAACTGAAGCCTAACAACACAGTGGCATTACAGCAATGACCTATCATAAGTTAGTCTTAATTAACCATCTTATTAATAACCTTTCTCACAGCATTCAGCGCGACAAAGTCTGTTTACCGAGAGCTCCAAACATCAACCAATCGAGTGATGAGGTGCTCGCGAGAGGGGGGGATGATGACACCAAATTCACGTCCACGCAAAGTTTCTCAGCATTTCATCTCGACACTTTCTGCCCAACTGTACGCATGAAGTGTCGTTGAGAGAATCAGACACAGACAGATGCTGATGCTGTTACAGGGAGTTTCAGCATCTTCTTCCTTCTCCTCCTCCTCCTCCTCCTCCTCCTCCGTCAGTCGAGTTCGGGCTCTCCGCCGCACTGTCGGTATCAGCGCAGGAGAAAATACAGCTGGACCGGTAAGATTGCTTATATCGTGAATATGTCATGCTGTAGAGGTTTAGAAATACCATAAACTCAGTTGTATGCATAATGTGTAAACATCTGAGCAGATTTGCGACATGAACACAGTTTAAAAGCGTCTGGAATTTTAATGATTCCTTGCATTTCTGTGTTGAGTAGTTATGCAACTGATTTTATCATCTGAATCTTGGCATGTGATATTAAATATGTTTTTTTTTTTTTTTTTTTAGATAAAAATAAGCCATTTATCAGAAACGCTAAATGATCCTTGAGGTATTTGTAAAGAAACTTCTGCTTATAGAGAAAAAGTCATTAAAAATGTGTGTCCAACAATCTATTGAGCAATTTACTCAAGTAGCTATCTGAGCATAATCTCGATTCAGGAAGCATTATGTGAAATGTTGATCTCTGTTGATGGAAATTATAAGTGAAAGGAGGTGAGAGCGTTTTCACCTTTTCCACCAAGTGGGAATTTGAGACTTGATAGAATGATCTAGTTGACAGCTGAACGTGATGAGGAAACAGTCGGAGCAAATAGTAATTCTGGGAACGAAGAACCACAACCATACCAGAGATTTCCACAAGTGGGATTTCAAATATAATATTTCGCTTGTGCTTGTCAGGGTGCATTAAAAATATAATCTCAGAAAATAATGAGAGCTAGACACAGGGATTGTTCGGTTATGCAGCTTGAGAGACAAAAAGATTATTAATGTTAGGAAGAGATGTTATTGCACTTTATATAGATTAAGAATGCGTCCTGCCCTTGTGGAGTGTTTATTATGGTGTCTCTCTCTCTGCAATTTGATCGACAGGTGTGAAAGGATCTCAAGGTAATGGTTATTACACCGTCCTTTTCTCTTAAAATAGACCATTCCTGGAGATATTCTCATGACCGTATCAGGATTCAGACAGACCCTTCAGTAAAGACATGGTGTGGGGCAGTTGTCATCTAGCAATAAGTCACCACAAGATTAGTTTTCGGACGGCACCTCCCCTTGCATTATCCGGAATTCAAGGGTTTGTACTTGACCATCGGGATGTTCTGCTTGTAATCTTCAATGTTATTGCATATTAGCAACACTTCACATTGAACTGCATTTCGTAGAAGATTACATGCACAAGATGGAAGAATAGTAATGGCAGGACATTATTTTAATCTCTTTTTAAATACAAATCTGCACAGAAAGAATTAAGAAACAATAACAGATGGTCATAGCAGTTTTAGTTTATGTAGCTTAAAAAGGAAACCTCAACTGGTGGGTTAATATTAATAGAAATAGGGGGAAAACGATGCCCTAAATGTACTAAATAAAATGCATCTAACCATGTAATCGTGTTTAGTTGGGGTAGCAATATAAATAGACATGTCAACTTTAAAAGGGAGAAGAAATGCAGCAAATATCTTATGCTCTTGACGTCAAAGGCTCAAATTTATGTAAATTGGTTGACGTCAGATAAATTAGGTTTGCGTTATAAGAATTATGAACAAAACTACAAAAGGTAAAAGAAAATACAGTGTAGTAGACTACATTACAATGTGGTGTAAGGGTGTTCACACTTGGCATGTTTGGTTCGATTAAAGCGAATCCTGGTGCGATTGCTCTGTTATTGCGGTTCATTTGAATAACCGTGAACGCTGCGCAACAAACAAGCGGACTGAGACCGCTGAAAAGATGGGTCTCGATCCGCTTCCAAGGTTTTAATGAAATATGAATGCAACGCGGACCACAGACATGTAAATTAACCAAAAACAGGACATGATGTCACGAGATGCGACAGAAATGGACAGAATGCTCAAGCATACCTGTCTTTTCTCGTCATAGTCGCGATGTTGCTCATCACAGTTGTCAGAACCGCTTCTCGTCGCAGCAGATCTTCATTTGTGTGTGAGGAAAGGATTCCCGCCGCTGTTTTAACTCCTTTACACATTTTATAAGCTCTTCACGAGTTCCCAGCTGGTCAAAATACCATCATATGTAGGCTACGCACATACAACGAGCGCATTTAGCCCAGAACACAGCATTGTTTTAGATGTTCGGTAAGTTCAGTTGTGAAATATACTTAATAAAGGCCGACCAATCAGGTTGTGTGAACATATACCTATGCCTTTAGGTTTGGTATCTTTAGGCAGGTGTTAAAATGCCAATGTGAATGCTAAGCGGACCATGATTAAATGTTTTTTTTTTTAATTCGGAACAAACGAACCAAGCGAACCAAACTACAATTGTGAACACACCCTAAGAAGTGATTTTGGGTTGGTTGGGTTCATACTTGATGTTCAATGTAAAATCTGCATTCTGCAGCACATAAAGTTGAGAACCGGTGCAATGTACAGGGTGTATTTCTATAGATTGTAGACCATTGATTATTCATGTAGGCCTACCTTTCATATTTTTCTGCAGAGGACCAAGAGGTTCAAGGTAAAAAAAAAGTCTTTACATGTGCTGTGTTGATGGATTTCTCAATGGACAGAGATCCTACATATGTCTGTCGGTTGTGAAACCACATTAGCTAGTGAGGGGAAGCTTTCCCATCCTAAAAAGGTGCTGATGAAAACATCAAAGGTCAGTGGATGGATGTAATAGATTTTGATGGATTGTCAAACTTCATCAGTCGAATGAAGATGAAGTTTCTAAAAAAGCTATATTCTTATACGACACTTGTGTTATGCTTTAGCCGTCCCCCGGTGCATTTTCAACACCCGTTTCCCAAGAACCAAGGTGACACCAGGAGATTCACCCTGCAGCAATTACTGGATGGGGTGAAGTTTGAGATGATGGGTGGCCTGAGTTTTTACTAGAGCCCCGTGGCCCAAAATCTGACATTTTAAAGAAAAGCTTGTATTTACGCTTGCCTTCGGTGAAAGATACACTGCTAAGAGGCATCTTAAAATGTAAAGGTTCAGTCAAAAATCAACGTCATGTTGATTAAAACCTTTATCTGTGAATGGATGCTGCTCTTTTTCATACGTAATGGAATATTTATGTATATATACACTGTTCAAAATCTTGGGGTCAGTATTTTTTTTTCCTGTTTTTGAAAGAAGTCTTTATTTGATCAAAAATACAGTAAATACAGGAATATTGTGAAATATAAATTCACAATATCAAATATTATTTCACAATTTAAAAGAACCGTTTCCCATTTGAATATATTTTCAAATGTTATTTATTCCTGTGATGCAAAGCTGGATTTTCAGCATCATTACTCCAGTCTTCAGTGCCACATGATCCTTCAAAAAATCATTCTAATATACTGATTTGCTGTTCAAGAAACATTCATTTTTATTATCAATGTTGAAAACAGTTGTGCTGATTAATATTTTTGTGGAAACAGTGATGCCTCTTTTTTACAGGATTCCTTGATTAATATAAAGTTCAAAAGAACGCCATTTATTTAAAGGGGTGGTATAATGCCCTTTTCACAGAGTGTAAAAGCATTGAACATTGAGCATTGTAACTTTACAGATGTTGTTTATGCTCAAACAGCAACATTACACACTCACTAAAGTTAGAAAAGTGAAATCATAATCAACCACCCCTTAAAAAAAAACACATAAATATTTTTACTGTCACTTTTGTTCAATTTAATGTATATATAAAAAGAATCTTACCAATCCAAAACTTTTGAATGGTAGTGTGTGCGTGTGTGTATGTACATTATATGCATATACAGTATACACAGATTTTAGGGATCTGTTGAAAGAGAACAGTGACCGGGTTTAAGGGTGAGTAAATGACAGCATTTTCATTTTTGGTTTGACTGAAACGGCTCCTTTTAAGGTATTTTAATACCTTTTCCCCCACAGCATTATTCTTTATTTCCTGCTATTCATGTCTTCCCAAATAATAGACTACGCTAGAGCAGCTGTTCTTCAACCCTGATTTCCCGATAAATTGACTTGTTGGCCTGCCCAGATGAATTTAAACCACATCGCCTTGGGCCACTTTGTGATATTTCAGCAGTGTTATTACCTTCAGTGTGCGTCCTATGTAGTGAATTGCCCTTCCACCATCCTATAGGGAGACACATATTTATGGAATGTCATATGTTCCTCAGAACTGATGTGAATCCACTACAGCAGAGAGCCAGGCTTTTCCTCTTCAATCAGAGATGCTAAGGGCTTCTGTGGCCATGAACCCGCATCAATAACACTGTTGTTCAGCTGCCATGTGCCGCATGTCATTGTCCTTTTGCTGAAGGTCGAGAGAGCTCATGTCAAAGAAAGAGAAAGATAATGTCCTGCTATCCTAGGTTGTTGAAATGTGTAATTGGCATCTGTGTAAAGAACGTAATGAGTGGGAAAGTGTTTGTATGGTCAGAAATAGCTCAGGGATACAATTCTCATTCAAAATGTGATTCCATCCTTGACAGCAACATTATATATATATATTTTTTTTTTAAAGATTTCCGAAAAGATTAGAGTCTAGTGTCTAGATGTCTCTATAAATATGGTCTGTCCTTGAATGCAAATTTGTTTTCTTCATTTACTATATTATTATCCGTCAGGTGGACATTGAAAACAAATGGTCAGATGATTTGAAAAGCACTAGCACAATGTAGCTGTCTTCAAATAAAAAGATCAATGTTTTTATATGCTATTTGAGCAAATCAACCTAAATGGTTTACTTACAGTTGTCACCTGTGTTATTCCAAACCTCTGATTTTTTTCTTCTTCTATGAAACACAAAAGAAGATATTGTCAAAGTCATTTGACACCACTGAAATTGTACGGGGAAAAAATGCAGGTTTAGAACAACATAAAGGTGAGTAAATAATGACAGAATATTCATTTTTGATGAACTACTCTTAAAAGATTAAATAGGAGAAAGTATTTTATCTGAGAAAAAAAATTACACACTTCAGCAAGACAATTATTTTAAGGAATGGTTTGATTTAGGTTTGATCCCTCCCGTTATAATTTGTTGATTCGACAGTTCCATCAATAGTCTGTTTAATTAGAGGTTGTGATTAGCCTGGCATAACTCTAGGTCATTATGAAGCTGTCAATTTCCCATGTGACTCACAGATGCTAATATGACTCAAATATCTTTCTAATAGAGAGCGCAATAAAGTACCAATAAAAGGGTTGCCGGAAAAAACATGAATGTTCCACTGAGTTGGTCATGGTATAGTAAAGGTAATGCTTGTTGTCTGACTTTGACAGTGGTAGTTGTTATTAGCTGCCCTTCAAGCAGTCCCGGCACCAGGACACACCACATGGGGGGGGCTTTTATAATTCTCGGGGGGGCTTGCGCTTCAGATCATGTGAAGGGGGATGGGGGCGAACCGCAAGTGAAAGGCCCTCCTCATTGGGTAATTTAGTCTACTTCATTATCACGGGATATGACGCGCGAAATGTGAATCGTTGTCCATCATTTTGCGAGCTATTGTTGATTTAAAAAAAAAAGTCACTGTGACAAGCAGGGCGGGGCCAAGAGCCATGGGAACGGAGCAAGGATGGTGGCCCGATTGCTAATGAGCGTCACCTGCGCATCACACCAGTCTCGATTCTCACAGAGGAGCACTGGAAGGACTGAAAGTGACGACAGTGAAGGACGAGAGAGGACCAGGCCTAGACTATTTATGTTGTGGTTTTATTTTGTTTATACGCGGCAGTCGTCCGTGAGGGGCTGCCGCTTTAATTTTGCCACCAATGTAACAAGGTTTAAAGGCTCAGGGAAGAAGGAGGTGAATCAATGTAAACTTTAATACCAACAATATCAAAATAAACAAACAACAAAACGAAAGTAAAGCGGCAGCCCCTTACGGATGACTGCTGCACAAATATAAACAAAACACAACGTAAAGTCCAGACCTGGTTCTCTCTAATCCTTCACTGTCGTCACTCCTCCTTTTAACCTCCCGGAGCTCCTCCGTGTCGACTCGAGACCGATGTGGTGAGCAGGTTCCCACGGCTCTCGGCCCTGCCCTGCTTGTCACAGTCACGTCGCAAATGAAAATGACAGGATCCAAATCATGAGGAAAGATCTAATAAACTATTAGAGACTTCCTGGAGTTCAGTTCTAACACTGATCAAATTATCAAGTGTCTTAATTAGCTGGTTCAATAGGCTTCCGCTTTATGCACAGCTGCCCTACTTCCTGAACTTCAGCCAGCTCCTTTGTTTCCTGTCTGCCATTATTGGACAAACTGATTAATCCAGGTGTGCCTGGCCTCAGTAACAATAATCAGGCACACCTGGATTAATCAGTTTGTCCAATAATGGCAGACAGGAAACAAAGGAGCTGGCTGAAGTTCAGGAAGTAGTGAAGCTGTGCATAAAGCCTATTGTGTTTGATCAGGGTTGGAGCTGATCTTTGCAGGAAGGTAAATCTCCAGGAACAGGATTGGGCGCCCCTGTACTAGAGCATCTGTCAAACCTCTTCAAGGTTAATGGAAGCAGAAAGCAGTTTGGCAAAATTCACTCTTTTGTTTTCTGACTGAATCAATCTGACCTTGTAGACAGTCAGCAGATCACAAATAGTGATAAATGTCCTGTTGTGTTTTGGCTTCCTGTGAGAAGATTTTTACATAAGCTTTAGTTAAACGGGCAAAACATTTTGTCATCATTTTCTTGTGTTGTTGCATGCTTTTTTTCTTGGAACACAAAAGGAGATTTTGTTGCCTTCCAGTGAAAGCAGATCACAGATCACAGGGGCTATCAAGGCAATATATATATTATTAAAAAATATATCAATATAATAGTACTTCAAATGACTTTTATGCGATAATTCAGGTCTTCTTGTTTAGCAGTGGTGGTCACCATTTACTTTCATTGTATGGACCAGCTTGGACATTCTGCTATAATTACATTTTTTTTAAAAATATAATTCTGCTATAAAAAAAAGTCATACCGGTTTGGAAATTACATGAGGGTAAATAAATAATGACAGAATCTTCATATTTGGGTGAATAATTCCCTTAAAGTGTCCTTTTTTATTTTTATTATGTACCTCAGCTTGATTTAGATGCCTGCTAAAAATACTTGTTTAATTTCATTTTTGTCTTTTTGGTGTATTTATTTCTTTATTCATCTCAAATGACAATGCATTTGATTTGCACAAGTAGCGAATCTCTGTGAGCGGTTATGAAAGCATGTCGCTCAGACTTGTCTGTGTGATATGAAAATTAGATGATTAATTTAGTTCTGCCTTATATAATTTCACACACTCCCTTAAATTCTTGAGTCATTCTCTCCACACACACAAACCTCCGATGCTGCTGCCTGTGATATATGCCAATATATTTCAGAGAGACAGCAGCATGTCAGCACTGTGGTAATACGATATTTTGTATCCTGTGAAGGACACATCTATCAAAGATATCACATATTAGATATTCTCATATCTGACCTCTATCTTAGATTGTAGTGCTTTTAAAAATGCTGGGTTGTTTCAACCCATGTTTATAGAGATCTAACACATAGGGAACAGAATAGACTATTTAGACTGACAACCTAGCAACCACTTAGAACAGTTTAGCAACTGCATAGAAATGCCCTATCAACCTTGCAGAACACTCTAGTAACCACCTGGCAAGCTCCCAAAATGTCTAGAAGCCACATGGCAACACCCTAGCAACCTCTCAGATCACCTGGACCGCCTTGTAAATAGGGTTGGGTATCGCTTGATTTTTTACGATTCCGATTCTTATTGATTCCAATACGGTAAAAAAAACGTAGATATCTTCCACATTTATTCTAAGTCTTATTGTAAAACATTTCATTGTAGCTGAGTACCATGAACAAAAATCAACAGTCTTCTTGCACTTGAATGGTTTAAAGTCTTCTTGCACTTGAATGGTTTAAAGTCATTTAAATGCACACAATGGAATCGATAAGAGGAATTTAAATTTTTTTTTATAACAAGTATGACCTTACAAGTATGACCTTAAGTATTGATTTTCGATTCCCAACCCTACTTGACACCACCTAAAATGTCTACCTGCCACAAAGCCACACCCTAGAAACCACTCAGAATACTCTATTAAACATCTGGCAACCACCCAAAATGTCTGCAATGGCCTACTAACCACTTTAAAACAATGTCCTAGCAACCACTTATAATGTCTAGCAGCCATTACACCCTGGAAACCACTGAAAACATCTAGCAGCAACGTAGAAACACCCTAGAAACCACTCAGGCAACGGCCTAGCAACCACTCAGAACATTTTAGCTACTGCATTGAGAGCCCCCTGGTCTTTTGTTGCCAAAAGCAACATACTCTTTTGCTGCCTTAAACATTGGTATTTCATTTGTGAAATGCAAATTGTAGAGTACTTCTTTAAAAGATTATGTGTGATAAATTATGCTCTTTAGAGCTGTGAAGGATTGAAACTGGAGTAGATAATCTCAGTAAGGCATTCCCTGAATCAGCTTCCCTCTCCATGTGAGATGAATGACGTAATAAGCTGGTGTGAAACTCCTGACAGTTGGTTTGGAGGAGCGAGAGGATATTAGCTGCGGCTTAATTACAACACTTACTCAATCCAAATGAAACTCAGAGTGGCCGGCTCGGGGAATAAATTAGCTAAAGTGACTGCGAGAGTAAAATATTTGATGCGATTGATACCAATCTGTATGCATTACAGAAGTCAAATGAAGTCACTTTAGATGCAGTGCTTATTCAAGTATGTGGAGTAATAGAACGAAGGAAGGAAGGAAACAGGAGTTTATCAAATCCGTCTACAATTTCATCTTAAAATTGTTTTTGAGAAAGCATCCCTAATACATACTAAACAAACATATTTAAAGTCGTCATGAAATCAAAATAGACACTATCTACTTATTCTTAGTGCACATTTACTAGTGATGCGGTGAACAATTAACATGTGCAAGTTAATACACAGAAAAAAATAGTTTGTCGTGGTAAACTTGAATCAAAATCTAAAAAAGTTGCTTCCGCTCTGTAATGGCGTTCCCTCTCTGATGTTCTTCCAGAGAGAAAGAGTTGCGTCAACTCCATTCACTCCATTGGACTGTTTTTTTTTTTTTACAGCAATGACGGCTCAGGAACAGATAGTTTGTGATGCATCTGTGTATCTTACATGTTCTCCTATTTCTTGTTATGCGCAAATAGCTAGGACAATTCAATAGAAAGATGTATTTTCTATGAATGTCACTGTATTATTTGACAGTGTCCAGTTTTTCTGTCTCATGTTCAATTCAGACTGCTAACTATAGCATAATTTCTTTTGTTATGCCACGGTAGATTCAGTAGCATAGTGTGGCCACAAAAATATTGGGTTCTAGTATTTCATTGAATAAGGTTCTCAATGTCCATCCCTTCAGATTGACTGAGGTTGACAAGGTAAACCGGTGCTAATACATTGGCAACTTTTAAATCAGTTGTTCGTGATATGATTATTTTTTATCACTTCATCACATAAAAGCCATTTTAGGCCAAAGAAAAGAGAACTTGGAGATAAAAAGGATAAATAGAGAATACTCATGAGAGAGACCTCCATCTGTCAGCTTAACAGACAGGATGACCTGTCAACATCCCGAGGGAGTTTTTGCAAAGAGTATTAGTTGAGTTTATGCCATTATTAGAGCTGAACGAATAAGATATTTTGGTGGACATATGCATAAACTAATTTATGAAATACTAAGGTGAAAATACTTTAGAGAGATTGGCAGTGTTTTCTCCTTAAACAAGAGATGTCTGCTCAGCTTTACGTCCACAAACATCTGTTGGATTAAGGGGTTTAACCTCTCCCAGAGATTCACTTGTTGAGTTAAATCCTTTCCCATTAAATCCCTCTCAACATATTGCCCATTTTAATGCCAGCTAACGGTCTTTACATGCTCCTTTTCCTCCAGGTCAACCATCTGGTCGTCTGCGAATAAATGCAAGGACCTCAACAATGAGTCGACTTTCTTATGGTGTTTGAAGAGTGGATGCTTCTGTGAACGCCTGGCTGCTTCTCATCCACCTTTGGGACTTATGGAGGCCTCTCCAACCTCAGACAACATCAGCAACACCTCAGCTGTGTTGGGCCAGAGAACATGGGTGGATTCCAACGTGTGCCCTCCCTCTGTGAGTGGCACAACTCTTCTGATCGTGGCCTACAGCACTGTTATAGCGGTGGGCTTGGTGGGCAACACTTGTCTGGTCTTCATCATATCCAGACAAAAAGAGATGAGAAACGTCACCAACATCCTCATCGCCAACCTCTCCTGCTCCGACATCCTCATGTGCGTGGTGTGCCTCCCCGTGACGGTCATCTACACGCTCATGGACCGCTGGATCTTGGGTGAGACGCTGTGCAAGGTCACGCCGTTTGTGCAGTGCATGTCCGTCACAGTCTCCATCTTCTCGTTGGTCCTCATCGCGTTGGAGCGGCATCAACTCATCATCCACCCCACCGGCTGGACGCCCGCCGCAGGCCATTCGTACCTGGCCGTAGCCGTCACCTGGATGGTGGCCTGCTTCATTTCCCTACCCTTCCTGTCCTTTAATATCCTAACTAACGTCCCGTTCCAGAACCTCAGCCTGCCGTTCAACCCATTCAGCGACCACGTCATTTGCATGGAGCTTTGGCCGTCTGAACGCAACCGTTTGGCGTACACCACCTCGCTTCTGCTTTTCCAGTACTGCCTGCCCCTGCTTCTCATTTTAGTCTGTTACTTGCGCATATTCCTGCGTCTGCGCAGACGCAAGGAGATGGTGGAGCAGGCCACCGAGGCCCGGCAGAGAAAAGCACGGGGTGCTCAACGCATCAATGCCATGTTGGTCTTAATCGTAGTTGCTTTTGCTCTCTGCTGGCTCCCGCTCAATGTTTTCAACACCATCTTTGACTGGTACCACCAGGTGCTTCCTTCTTGCCAGCATGACGTCATCTTCTCCGCCTGCCACCTGATGGCCATGGCGTCTACCTGCGTGAACCCGGTGGTGTACGGCTTCCTCAACACCAACTTCCAGAAGGAGCTGAAGGCGACGCTCCAGCGCTGCCATTGCGGCTGGGGCGTTCCGGAGACCTACGAGAGCTTCCCGCTTTCAACGGTGGCCACTGATGTCACCAAGGTTTCGTCCATGCAGCAGGGCTCTCTGGGCAGATCGGAACAGTGCGCTCACTGCTAAAGAGACTGCAGGAACGGAGAAGAGAACAAGGGGAGGGGTTGAGGATGAGCTGGCACTGTTTCCATGGAGATGTGGAATTGCTATGTGGGTTTCTGCATCAGTTCAGTTCCCAAGAGATCTAAAAACAACCTCTACCAACTGTTGCCGTGTTTTCCGGGGTCCAGGTCTGCGTGTTCCACTACGAGGAACACAACGTGATGTTATGTTAAAGACAGCTAGGGTAGTCAGGGCGTCATTCCTTTCCCCAAGTACGACTTGTACGGGATAAATGTTCCATCAAGAATGTGATTATTCCTCTGATGATGCTTTCAAGCTGTTGTGTTATGAGGAAGGACTAATTTATGAGACTGGATTGTTTGAGCGCTCATTGCACGCCAGACATTTCACATCAAACAGGAAGTTGTTGTTAAAATGAAATTACTTTTCATGTTTGATTCTTTAAGTTTTGTTAAAATCACTGTAGCAGTGAGTTGGTGCCCTCACCAAAGTATTTATTCTGTTCATGTCAGGTTTTGTTGTTGTTGTTGTTTAATGAATTGGAACTATTACTATTTATTGTGTTGCTTTGGTGAGATCGCTTACGCTGCATTTGAACTTCGAATTGTGCCTCTGTAATGTTGGGAAACATATTAAACGTTTGAGCATCGGTGTTAACAACACACCCATCTTCTGCTACAATAGATACATGACTATGCCAATGCCAGTTTGGTATTACACATTTTCTTGATGATCGAAGTCAAAGCAAAGTTAAGTTTCTACAAAAGTGTTTGGTGTTGACGTTCTTGTTGCCTTATGAATAGTAGTTCTGAAAGCGCAAATAAATTAGGAAACATGACATCCATGTACTTCTCTTCTGTCACTTGTTGTTTCTCTTGTTAATCTTCACTCTCTTGTGTGGCGGCATCCCTGGTAATTGCATTGAACGCTCATTCTCCTGCTCATTACTGAAGATGAAATAATTTGCATATACAGCAGGAGTGTCTGTATTACCGATACATGAACCACTAAGTGCATGTTTACAGAAAGAAATCTTTTATGCAGGTAACATTCCACCTGAGGCATCTTCCTTTGGATGTGCCCGTCAAGGTAGTCGATTCGAGTTTGCTTCTTTAGAAACAGATTGCCATCTGAGAGGCAATTTTCCTGGCTTGTATAATGGCAAAAACATTGCATTTTCCCATCACAGATACAAGAGTAAATGTTTTATAGCATTCCTGTGGTGATGGAAAAATATGGGGAATATTAGAATGTATGATTTTCATTTTTCAGATGCTGTTGTGACATTGCATTCAAGGTATAGCTTATAAGCAAGGTATAGGTTTCATGTGATTTATATAATCATTAACCATAAAACATAGTCTTTTTCATTCATTGGTCAAAAGGACATCTTACATTTTGTCATAGAGAGTTAAATTTATGCTAGATCATGCCGCTCTTCAATGCGCTGTCCGTGACATGACATCCCAGGTGATAAAATCACAGCCATTCTTGCGTGAACAGTGTCCAGGTCAAGGAGTCCTGTTTAGAGGTGTTACTAATCTCAGGCCACTTGATCTGCTGTCTCACGTGTCCCATTTCTTTTTCACTGCTGCCGCGGTTTCCTATTAGAGGAGATGAAACGTGTGCCACACAGATAAAAGCTTTTTGGCTAATCTTGTTTTCTCATTCTTGATAAGATGCACTTATTTTAAATTGCCATTGATTTCCAGCAGGTCACTAATAATATCCGAAAGTGAAGTGTTTGAAGACTTTCCATTGGTTCGTGTAGGATGTGTAGGCCGAAGCCTCTGGGGACGCACCAGCAAAATAAAGCTTATAGAAAACGGATAATCATCATTTGTCCAGAGGGATTGTCACTCTCATCTCCTATCTGTTTTATAATTCTCACCACAGTTTATTAGCTTGCCGTGGGTTATCTGCAATACTCCAATCGAAAATGAGCCCCACTTTTGTTCATTTATTCATACGTCATATAAGTAAGCCCAGCAGCTTTGATGTGTAGTGCTTGATATGACAGAATCTCCCCTATAGTCTTTCTGCAATCAGATTTAGGCTACTTGCTAATGCAGCACATTTTGATAGTCTTGGATGTTTGAGGGAAATGCCCCAGCTATATAGCACATTTTCATGTTTATTGGATAAATTATTAAGCTAGAAATAAAAATTTTAACATGGAAATCCTATTAACTTTTTTTAAAACCCTTTTTTAACAGTTAAGTTAACGTAGTGGTTAATTTATCCATTTAGTATTGTATTTAACTAAGCCAGTTCCTCAATTACATCATCCCGGAAGTGACATACTTTTGGTGGGAAAACAAAGGCTTGAGCATCAGTAATGGTTAGCAATGGATTTCATGAATTCTGTGATGTTTTGTGGTATTAGTTGTTGTTTTCACATTTTATCCTGTTTGATATTACAAAAATGTATTTTATAATAAAAAAAGATAGCCTAATGCAAATTCTTATGAGCATTGGCTAACTGGATAAAGGGCAATTTACACTAAGAACGATAACTATAATGATAACTATATTAGTGTCCACTCCAACGCACGATATCGTTCTGTTTATTATAAGCGCGCTGCAGTTTGTCGTCTGCCACTTTAAATGCTCGAGCTCTTTAAAGCAGGATGGATTCTGATTGGCTGTCAGTTTTCATCGTTATCAGCTGGAAAAAAATCGTTCTGAAAGTGATTCAAATGTCGTCGTTATCATTACACTTGTGGTGTGGCTATTCTTTTACATTTAAAATTATTTTTAAAAATATAACGTCATTATTATAGTTGAACGGCCTTAACTTTAGGGGTTTCCCCATTCTGTCATTCTATATTGTGTAAAATACCAAGCCATTAAATTCATAAAGTTTAAGTGACCAGAGCCTATTTTTGAAAGAAGGCCTATGATATACTATTTTATAGAAATACTTCCTTAAAAAAATACACCAGGAATATTTATACTTTGAAAGTTTGATTACAAAAGGTAGGCTGCAGAACAAAAATTACCCACTTGAGTTATAGCCATAGACTGTAAAAAAAAAAAAAAAAAAAATGTTATAACTAATGAGTCATTGTTATAACACCTTTTTTGCTCTGGTTCTGCTGTTTATACATACGACTATCATTAGATGTAAAGTAACATATGTGTATGATTCTAGTTGTTGTTATATATATATATATATATATATATATATATACACTCACCTAAAGGATTATTAGGAACACCTCTTCAATTTCTCATTAATGCAATTATCTAATCAACCAATCACATGGCAGTTGCTTCAATGCATTTAGGGGTGTGGTCCTGGTCAAGACAATCTCCTGAACTCCAAACTGAATGTCAGAATGGGAAAGAAAGCGGATTTAAGCAATTTTGAGCGTGGCATGGTTGTTGGTGCCAGGTCTGAGTATTTCACAATCTGCTCAGTTACTGGGATTTTCACGCACAACCATTTCTAGGGTTTACAAAGAATGGTGTGAAAAGGGAAAAACATCCAGTATGCGGCAGTCCTGTGGGCGAAAATGCCTTGTTGATGCTAGAGGTCAGAGGAGAATGGGCCGACTGATTCAAGCTGATAGAAGAGCAACTTTGACTGAAATAACCACTCGTTACAACCGAGGTATGCAGCAAAGCATTTGTGAAGCCACAACACGCACAACCTTGAGGCGGATGGGCTACAACAACAGAAGACCCCACCGGGTACCACTCATCTCCACTACAAATAGGAAAAAGAGGCTACAATTTCCAAGAGCTCACCAAAATTGGACAGTTGAAGACTGGAAAAAGGTTGCCTGGTCTGATGAATCTCGATTTCTGTTGAGACATTCAGATGGTAGAGTCAGAATTTGGCGTAAACAGAATGAGAACATGGATCCATCATGCCTTGTTACCACTGTGCAGGCTGGTGGTGGTGGTGTAATGATGTGGGGTATGTTTTCTTGGCACACTTTAGGCCCCTTAGTGCCAATTGGGCATCGTTTAAATGCCACGGCCTACCTGAGCATTGTTTCTGACCATGTCCATCCCTTTATGGCCACCATGTACCCATCCTCTGATGGCTACTTCCAGCAGGATAATGCACCATGTCACAAAATCATTTCAAATTGGTTTCTTGAACATGACAATGAGTTCACTGTACTAAAATGGCCCCCACAGTCACCAGATCTCAACCCAATAGAGCATCTTTGGGATGTGGTGGAACGGGAGCTTCGTGCCCTGGATGTGCATCCCACAAATCTCCATCAACTGCAAGATACTATCCTATCAATATGGGCCAACATTTCTAAAGAATGCTTTCAGCACCTTGTTGAATGAATGCCACGTAGAATTAAGGCAGATCTGAAGGGGAAAGGGGGTATTAGTATGTATTACTACAGTATTAGTATGGTGTTGCTAATAATCCTTTAGGTGAGTGTATATATATATATATATATATATATATATATATATATATATATATATATATATATATATATATATATATATATATATATATATATATATATATATAATTTTTTTGGCCTAAGCTGTCCAAAGTCACAGCCTTATGTATTTCCCCAAAATTGCCGTTTTTTCCCCCTTTTCTTTTTTTTACATAGCGGCTGGATGTTTTAGGCCTATGTGTCTCTTTTTATGTCCCTTTGCTCGTTACTTTTCATTCTGGCAAAAATATAAAAAAAATTCACCTGGAGCCTCAAGGTAGACCACTAAAAATATCAGAACATAAAATGGGTAACGTCACTTTAAGGCTTTGACATGACCTTCTGATGTCATTTCGCCTAATTTATGCATCTTCAGCGATCCAAATCCTTTGATTTCATATTTGGTCAAAAGTCCTTTAAAATGAAGGAATTTATTTGCACCTTTCCTGTATCTCAAACAGAGCGTTGGCGCTTGCACGGGTTCGATTGTCAACCAACCCAGGGAAAGCAAGAACTGATAAGAATGTAAAATGTGTAGCTATACCTTGAAATGCAATGTAAGCTACCTTGAAATGCTTTGGATAAAAGCGTCTGCCAAATGCGTAAATGTAAACTTCATGTGCGAAGTAGGCCGATTACATAGTAGACTATGTTTATATGGCCCGTAAGTGACATACGCATTGTGGGGTTTAAGATTTTCTGCGTCATGAACGTAGGCCTAACGCTATACGTTCCACTTGTCTGACTGTGTTTGGCAGCTGTAATAAAGCCTGACTGTCTGCCGTAGGCTAGTATACTTGGCAGAGATGTTTAAAAATGAGCGACAAACAATCCCAGAGGACTGTTTTAGGCGCGCGCTGCTCCAGTTCTGCGGCTGTGTCTATTTTTAAACCCAAATGAAGTCATCTCAGGTGAGCCGATCGCTCTCCCCCTGCTGTCTTTTCTCCCAGCCAGCCGTTTACCATCTGCAAACTTTTACATTATTCATAGTTTTTTTTCCTCAGAAATAAAGAAATAAGAGATCAGAAGCAAAGCAGAATATTAATGGGGTGGCTTTTCCTCAGTCTTGTCTTCGCCATTCCTTCAAAGGCAGCCGGAGTGAAGACACGATGCGATGCCACTCGCTCTCAGCGTGAAGGATTCGCTCTGTCCGCCAAACAGGCCGACGGGGAGCGGGAAAACTCTACGACTCGATTAACACGGTAAACATCACTGTTCTGCGTTCCGCAACACTCAGGTCTTCATTTGAGATGGTCCTCACTGCAGAACACGAAATCCAGGGGGAGGAGTTGGATCCAGATCCAACTCCTCCCACCTTACATATACCTAAACCTACCCATCTCCACCCCCTGATCCCTAACCCCACCCCTAATCCTACACATCTCCGCCCCCTGATCCCTAACCCCACCCCCAATCCTACCCATCTCCACCCCCTGATCCCTAACCCCACCCCTAATCCCACCCATCTCCACCCCTTAGATCTGGATCCAACTCCGCCCCCTGGATCTCGTGTACTGCAATGAGGTGCTACTGGTTCATTTGGGTGCACCTTTTGTTATCTTCCCGGTCAAAAGTGACCGGACACCTAAAAATGAAACTTCCTCCATCCCAGTAAAACCAATGCAATTTATTTTTTGTTCTATAATATTTTTTCTTTTTAATTTTGTATTTTGAGATACTTTGATGTTACTTATTCATATTAATGCAATATTTATGGTCCATTTTTGCCATTGAAAAAAAAAATCTTCTATTTTTTTTTAATGTTTGTTCAATTATTGCAGTATTTCAGAATTATATAGAGACTCTAGGCCTTATAAATTTTTTTTTTTGAAGTCAGATTAGTGTCATCTGTTGATAGAAAATGAAATAAAACATGTTGTTTCATGGGTTTACCACTAGATGCCTGTATAGCTCTCTATGGAGAGGCTTGTGAATTCTCTAGTTGTTTTTGGACCAAATTACTTACTTTTAAGATGAGGATTTGAATGTTTTTTTTTTTTTTTTTGAAATTCTCAAATAATACTTTTTGCCAAGGTTTATAAAAAAATGCAAAATAAGTTTGATGTGAAGTCTACACGTTTTTGCATTATTACTACAGTCAAACCTGAATACAGAGAAAGCATTTTGTTACACGTAACATTAAAATTCAATAAAAAACAAAACAAAAATAAACAGTAATACTTTATCAATTATTATTATTTATATTATTATTAAACATTATTATTATTTTAATAATTATATTAATTATATATATATATATATATATTAATTATAATGATTAATTATGTTATGTTTTTCACTGTTTGAGAGTTTCACCCCTTCATTGCTGAGCACTTTTTTTCTGCATCGTGGCCGAATTTTTGTGTTTTTGTCAATTTTCCGTTCATTCCTATGGTCGGTCATTTTTGACCGAAGAGCAAAAGTGTGACAAATATTTTTACAACCACTTAGCCTGCTCGAATCATGCCTTAAATTCACATACCTAATGCCACACAATTCTCCGAATTTTTGTGTTTTTGTCAATTTCCCATTAATTTCCTATATGGTCGGTCATTTTTGACCGAAGAGCACAAAAGGCCTCTAAGCCTGCTTGGATCATGACCTCAATTTATTTGTGTGTTCACATAGCCTACCTAATGCCATAAAATTCACCAAGTTTCGTAACATTCCGATGAAGCTGTGGTTGGTAATCAGACAGTTGACCGTAGCTATTGACTTCCATTGTAAAAAAAGAAATAAAAATACTACGGTCAACTGTCTGGTTACCAACATTCTTTAAAATATCTTCTTTTGTGTTCAACAGAAGAAAGAAACTCATACAGGTTTGGAACAACTTGAGGGTGAATATATGATGACAACATTTCATTTTTTGGATGACAACATTTCATTTTAAACTATGCCTTTAAACTGCGATCAACACTCACACATTTATTAGATCCACTCAGTATTTTCATCTTATTTCAAAAGCAGTTTCCATGCGAATCTTATGAGACCCTGTCCAAGATCAGTGGTCTTTTTTACCCCAAATCAAATCAAAAATGTTATATTTGTTTTATACCATGCATGTATTTTGCATAAAGAAAATAAACCCAATTTTTAGCACCATTAAGATTGGTTGGATTGATACATTATTTTCATGACAAAAATCTCATTACTCTGACAAATTCTCCTTTTCACTACTTTATTGTTAAAATGTTAAATATATTTATTTCTGATTTCATTTATATTTCATATGCTACACCACATTATATACATCTATTTCTACTTTTTATTTTTATTGCAACAGTTAAATATGTGAGCACTTTAAGATAAGTTTTCATTTTTTAAACATTAGTTAACTACATCAGTTAATATGAACTATATAATAAAAATAAAAAAATGTATCTGTTAACATTATGAACCTGAACTAACAATGAACAGTTGTATTTATATTACTTTATGTAATCAAAGATTAATACATATACTGTAACAAATGTATTGCTCATTTATAGTTAATATTAGTTAATGCATTAACTAACTTAACTAATAGAATCTTATTTTAAAGTGTTTCCAATAATGTATTGTTTTTTTACATAAAGGCCTTTTGCATTAACAAGAGAAACATTGAAAACAATGACAATCATCTAATAATATAATAATAATAATAATAAACATCCAAGTGCATTACAGCTCATTTGAATTCAGTCTGAAAATACATTTAATACATCACAAATCCAATGCAAAAACAAAACAAAAAATGTAATAGCTCTAAAAATATATCTTTATGCAGAATATTATTTCTTATTTCTTTAATTTTTGGAGTGAAATGATCCAGATGTTTCTTTCCATGTTGTACCTCCTAATAATGTAATAATGCAACCAATCTTACCGGTCCTAAAAATTGGTTTTATTTTCTTTAAGCAAAATACATGCATAATATAAAACAAATATAAAATCTCTTTTGATTTTGGGGTCAAATATGACGTCTGATCCTGGACTGGTCTTGCCCAGATATGCAAATTGATCTTTTTTTTCCAGGTTGTACCACCTTTATCAAAAAACGATTACAGGAATGCATCAAAGTCAAAGTTTCTGGGTTTATTATCTTTATTAGTAATTGCCTTTAAAGAGCAAGTGTGTATTGCCTTCAATTCGAATCAATAAACTCATTCTCATTCCATGATTCTGCTGGTACATTTGCAGCAAAAATAACAATGTCTTTCTTCACCAGACATCAGTGCACAGTGCAGTTTCCAGCTGTGTTTTGGCGCCATCTGAAGGTGCATTTCGCTATTACCCCAGCAAGAGTTTCTCACAGATGAAAGAATTTCATCCATCATTGCATTATAATAACACATAGCAAACGTGTTTGTGCTATATTAGAGCCATGTGAAGCTGAAAAATTATGTCTTTAAACATCCGTAAATATGTATTTTTATTCTGCGAATCCTATACTACAGTTCCTTTGTTGATTTCCTCAAGTGCATCCTCTTCATTCGTTGCTACTGTCTTCGTTGTCGTCCTCAACAGCGCCGTCTGCTCGTCCCTCGGGCTCAGGGTAATTCAGGATGTGTCTGTTGGCCTGGATGAGGTACTGCTGCTGTTTGAAATACACTTTCAGCACTCCCTTAATCACCACGAAGGCAATGCCACCCTGGAAGAGGAAAACTGGGTTAGGCTTTGCACTTGCTAATGTAATTCCAGGTTGTATGGTAGGGTTAGGGTTAGGGTTAGGGTTAGGATTCTCACCAGGATGGTGCGCTGCAGGTTTGACGTGACTCTGCGGAACAGGAGACGACCCACCAGGCTGGCGATGGAGGGGAAGATGAGCGCTCCACACAGGGTGCGAGACACAGAGAGATGGTCTCCTCCGTATCCGCCTTCTGCTGGGGCGCGGGGCAGAGCACGACCCATCCCTGAGCAAACAAATGATATTGTGTACTTCAAAAATGGTTTACGGTATGATTATGACAGTAAATCATCCATTCTAAGATGCTTTAAAAGAACAGTTCACACAAAAATGAGCTATCCACTAAATATTTATACAGATCAAAATGGGTTTAGAATGAGAGGGTGAGTAAATAATTTCAAAATGTACATTTTTGGATGAATCAGTGTTATTTTAGTATTATGTATACTATTACTACTATTATAGTATTTATTCATATTTTGAATTAGCTTTTATTTAAAAAAAAAACATTTATATTTAGCTTTTTTAATTTCAGTTTTAGTCATTTTAGTACTTTAACGACTTAACTGAAAATATAAAAAATAAAAGGGAATTTGTTGAAGAACTAAAATGACTAAAACTGAAAAAAAGAAAGCTAAATATAATAGTTTAAAAATAAATATAACAAAAGCAAATAAAGTGACAAACAAACTAAAATGAAAATTTCACACTTTTCATAAAAATAAACGCTTCAAGATGAGCGTTTTTTAATAATGACAAAAGCAAATAACAATGACTAAAACTTAAACAAAAATAAAAGCTTTAATTTTAGTCATTTATGTTTTTTTTAGACAATTATATTTGGCTTTTTTATTTCCGTTTCAATGTTAGTAATATTAGTACTTTAACAAATTAACTGAAAATATAAAAATAAATAGTTAATAGTTTTTCTTAATAACAAAATGACTAAAACAAACTTAAATCTAAATGAAAACTGAAAATATAAAAATTAAAGCTTTCATTCTAAATTTAGTTTAAGCTTGCTTAAGTAATTTTGTTATATGCTTTTGTCATTTTTTTCCGTTTTTTAAGTTATTTTTAGCTTTAATTTCATTTAACGAAAAGGATTTTTGATAATTTTAGTTTAAGTATCAAGAACAACAATGAACTACAGCCCAGTTTAACCCCGTCTTCCACATACCAGGTACAAGCCCGCTGAAGACCTGAAGCTTGGAAGAGTGTCGCTGCCAGAGCCGCACCACGTAATCCTCCCAGCGGATCATTTTACCCAGTACCAGCATGACGGGGATGGTGGGTAAACCCATGAGCAGGAAGAGAGGATCCGCACGCTCCATCACATCCAGACCCTTCTTATGCCCCACCACCTAAAAACAGAGAAGAAAAAGTGTTCAAAAGAGCCAAGGAGAGCCAAGCTCCTTTCTTCCTCCTGTCTTCAACGCACCTGCATAACCGTGACGGCACCGTAGGTCACGGCCGACCAATAAACGGTGCCCACCACGACTCCAGCCGCAGCGAACGGACTGGCCCTGGACAGAGCTCGATCCACCTGCTGGAGGAAGTACACCAGAGGCCCTGGAAGAGAGACAAAACCACACATGGAACACTTCCCTATTCAATGACCAAAATAACAGCCACACAGAATGACGGAATATTAGTCATTAGTAAGCCCACGCAGCATCTGTGCACTTTTGTCACATTTTCTGAGCTACTTTGTCGAAAATTAAATACATGATGATGTACTTAAATGGTAAGTGAAAATGAGTGCAAAACTGTTATAAAACAATATTTAGTGTTACTTATATATTATTTAAATACAGTGGACATACTTCGCCTTCATGTCGTGTCACTTTTAAGAGTAATTATTAATATTTTGAACATTTATTTTGACCATTTTCATTTTAATTTCAGCTTGCTTTGTATGCTTTGACCATTTTTTTATTTAATTTTTTAATTCAGTAAAAAAAAAAATGTTTTATAGCAATTTTAGTATTTCAACTTTATTTCAGTATTTCAATTTTCGTTTACATTTTTTTAAGCTCAAGTTTTTCATTAATATTTATGTTTAATTTATCTCAGCTTTATTTCAGTTAACAATTTTTGTTGTTGTTGATAGTTTAGCTTTAATTTATTTTTATTGGGGATTTAGTCATTTTTGCACTTATTTTATTTCAGTATTTCAATTTTCGTTGACATTTTTTAAGTTTAAATTTCCCATTTAATATTTATATATTTTAATTGATCTCAGCTTTATTTCAGTTAACAAAAATATTTTTTAATAGTTTAGTTTTTAACTTATGTTTATTTGGGTTTTTAGTAATTTTTGTATTTTCAAATTACACTTATTTTATTTCAGTATTTCAATTTTCATTTTTTCATTTAAAATTTTCATCTAATATTTATAATTTATCTCAGCTTTATTTCAGTTAACAAAAATAATTTTTAATAGCTTAAAATTATTTTTAATTATTCATTTATTTTTATTTAAGTTTTAGTCTTCAACTTACACTTATTTCAGTATTTCAATGATCATTTACATTTTTTAAGTTTATGTTTTTTCATCTAATATTTTTATTTTTATTTACATGAGCTTTCTATCAGTCTTTTTTTTTAAATAGTTTAGCTTTAGTTAATAACAACACTGGTTGTTAGATACTACATTCTTATCGGGAGAAAATTATCCAGCATATTTTTATAAACGGGCAGTGATCTGGTGCAAAAAGGATATGCATAAAATATGTAAGAGTCCATGACAAGACATAGGAACGAAAGAGGAAACCGGTATCAGTAAGTCTCCCTTCAAAAAGGTGAAGTGCAAATACTTACCCATTTTGGGGAAAACTATATGATATTCAGTGCCACATTGTGGGCAGCTGACGGCTCCACCACTGTTTCCCTTCTGTTTTTCGTCAAGCCAACGCTGTAAGCAAGACTGATGGATCCACTTAGTGCAGCCCTTACAGCGGCACGGACTGACCCATTCTGCAGCACGATCCTCCTTCTCCGTGGCAAAACAAACCCAGCAGTGCCTGTCGTTGGGCGACATGTTAGTGAGCAGTGCACATATCTAAGAGTACTCCTAACCGGTGATTCACAACAAATGGAGAAACTCACTTCTCTGGAGGTTCATCTACACAGGCCATCTTGAGTCAGGTTTGATCCACGGTCTTCAGCTCCAACATGAGTGAGCCAGAGCAGGCTCAGTGTACAACACCTGTTAACAGAGATCATTAGACTTTTTGCTATATTGCATTTTTTTTACCAATAATACTTGGAGCTAAACACATAATTTAATTGATCTTATATTAGGGTGGTCAGCAACATTTATATTACAGAAATTACTAAATATTTCAATAAAAGGTATTTTTAAATATAGAATAGGATATGGTATGATACATGGCATGATAGTTATGTTATATTTATTCTTCTAACGTCTGTCTTTGTATGAAATAAGCGTAATAAATGTTTTGGAATTACATTATTATTATTATTTTTGTGTTAATCAGGCCTTGATCACCTGTGAATGACAGGGCAGTTGACATTGCGCAAATTTAAATGTATAATTCAACACAATTTTCATTTGGAATGACTCACTGTAAACAAAACAAACAGCCACATACCTCAACATTTAAGTTTTTACAGCAATAAACATACCACAACTGGTCATTCACCCAACATTGTTAAACTGAACTCAAATGAAGATCCTCACCTGAAGATGTTTTGTAGATTAATCTTTTCTGATAATCGTTTAGTTTGGATCTCTGGCTGATTTGACACTTTCAATTTCTCGGAGGACAGAATTCGCCTTATTCACCTGGCGGCCATTTTGAAAACTCGTACGCCGTTGAGGGGTACACAAACCCGGAAGTTTGACTCCGACGCAGCAGCATCAACAATGGAAACTCCGTGGACCACCAATCTCTCCTGTCTGCCCGAATTAACTATACAAAATGTGGAGCAGTGGGCCAGTACCGACTGCAACATCCCCAGGGCTGTGTTACTTAAGGGATACAGTAACTGGATTGAAGGTTTTATCCACGACATTGAAGGTATGAATGGACGCTAATTTACTTCAGTTTTTGCTAGCTTGTAGCAGCTAGGTGTAGTAAGCTTAGCTGTGATATGGAGTTGTTGACTGTGTACTATGTTAGATTTTATTTAACACTTAACATGTATTTAATCGACAGTTAATAGGAGCCCATCACACATATTTGTGAGGGCTAGGTCTTTTCCCTCGGTGCGGAAAAATGAGGCACCGTACAACATACAGGTGCTAAGTGGACCAACTGCTCAGTTCGCAGAGCAGTGCCACAGTTAAACAAGCTTGCTAAATGTTCATTATGAGTTTATATCAACAATGTAACTTTCATTGTCTGACTGAAAATAACATGTTGATTTTATCTCATTAACAGGTTATCTGTAGTTAAATGTAATATCACATAAGCCTCATTGATATCTACTCAAATTCTTGTTTCAAATTAGCAAAGCCAGACAGTGCTTGTTGACAATGATAGTGTAATGACAGTATAACTATCAGGTAAGTGATAAGGTAAGGTAAGTATTAAAATTCATGTTAAGATAAGAGTTGCTCAGTTCTTGGAGCAGTGTATCCAGGGTTGAGGAAGGTTCTTCAAAATGCAATTAGCTTACAAATTACTTGTCTGTTTAAAATTGACATAATATGGAATCCATACTGTTCTATCTTAATATGAGCTTTTCCACAACCCTGACTTTTTTCTACAATGAGTGTCAAAGATATTAGGTATCTTTCAAGTTGTGTTCGCAAGTATCACAGCTGTAAACAACCTACCACTACCAGCATGTAGCTGTAATATTTTCATGGCAGATCATTTAAATGCCAGATGTACCTAATTCACTGCACACTCAGTGTATGTATGTATGTATGTGTGTGTGTGTGTGTGTGTGTGTGTGTGTGTGTGTGTGTGTGTGTGTGTGTGTGTATGTGTATGTGTATATATATAATATTTTATATATATATATATTTTATATATATATATATATATATATATATACATACACACACATATATGCCATATATTTGTTAATAGCAACTCTGAAGTGTCAAGTGTCTAAAGTTTGATTATCTTTTCAGGTGGAGCTGTCACTTGAGCGGCCATTCATAAGGGAGACGCAGTGCAACTGCAAAGCTGGCTTGGGACAGTGCAACCATCTCATCGGGCTGCTCTACACTCTCGCTCACTTTGCCAAGATGGGCTACACATCTGTCCCCCCAACAACGAGCAAGACGTCACTGCCTCAAGCCTGGCACGTTCCATCGAGGGCCCTGGGTGTCAGTCCAAGAACGGTGAGCTCTGTGAGTGTCTCAAAGCTAAAACCACCAGTGACCAACGCACCTCCGCCAAAGAGGCAACGCTCGTCTGAAGGGGTGATGTCAAACCTGTACTGTCCTGTGCCACTCCCGCTTCCATCAAATGCCTTTGCAGAGAGCCTACACCGAAACCTGAGTCAAATAGAAAGCAAGAGTCAGATGTTCAAGCTGCTGGAGGAGAACAGAAAACAGCCTGCTGCTCTTGTCTCTACCGACTTTGGAGACCTTCCAAAGGGATCTGTCCTTACCTACCACGCAACACAGTCTTCCAGGGCTAATGATGATCCCCTGTTTCCCTTACCATCACAGCCATGCTCATTTTACACTGTCCTGGATGACACTGAGTCATGCTACTATGGTGGCCTGGTGGTCACTCAGGCTGTTGCAATTCAGCTGGAGATAGAGACAAGGGAACAGAGCCATAGCAAGACCTGGCATAAAGTTCGAGCCAACCGTCTTACCTCCTCTTCCTTCAAGAGTATTTGTTCAAGGGTGGCAGACTACAACGTATTCGCTGCCAATTTGAAAAAGAAAATAGTGCAGACTAAGGTGATGAAGAGAGGTTTGGAACTGGAGCCTGTTGCTGCGGCTGAATATCAAGACCTCACTGGCTATGAGATCTTCCCTTGTGGGTTCGTCATCAACCACCACGCCCCACACCTAGGTGCCTCACCTGACCGAAAAGTGATTGACCCCAGTGCCTCACCAACGCACGGCCTCCTGGAGATCAAGTGCCCCAACAAAGGGAGCGTGAGGGATTGCAAGTACTTGCGTTGCAAGGCTGATGGTAGCCTTAGCCTGAAGACCACACACGAATACTATTTTCAAGTGATGGGGCAGATGGGCATCACTGGGTTGAAGTGGTGTGACTTTTTTGTGAAGTGCAGTGATGACCATCACTTGGAGCGGGTGCACTTCCAACCAAAGGAGTGGGAGAACATGAAGTGTAAATTGGACACATTCTTTTTTTCTCACTTTCTGCCTTCTTTGTGTAACAAAATCATGTAATACATCACTGATAATCTGTTTATGTATGGGCCTATAGTTCTCTTTTGTTAATGTTTTAAATGGTTTGCTCCTAATGTTCTGACCTGTTCCGGTTCCTTTTCCATACTTCTATGTACATAGTTACCTTTACAAACCTAGACCAATAAGCTATCAATGTTTTTTGAATGGCCTGTTTTCGGATGTTCTGGTTCCTTTTCCATGCTTACAGTATACAGGCAGGCCATTTTACAGTATTCCCCTGTACCAACTTCTATGTACAAAGTTACTTTTACAAACCTAGACCAGTGTGCCTATCAATGTGTTTTTTTTATGTTTTCTGATATTCCGACCTGCTGTTCTGGTATATTAAATTATAAAGTTATGAAGGACATCATCCATGTGTAATACAATTGTACTTTATTCTTTAGATAGATACACATCCAGTAGCTTATACATACACACACGTAAAACAATCAAATCACTCACAGGTATGTAAAAGTAAAGAGCATGAAAAGTGATTATAAGGTCTGACAGGGACTGATCCTGTGATACACTGACCATGATAAGGACAATAATGATGGTTAAGGCTTTGTACAGATTTATAAAGAAGAACAATAATGATGGTTAAGGCTTTGTACAGATTTATAAAAAAGAACAATAATAATGGTTAAGGCTTTGTGCAGATTTATAAAGAAGAACAATAATGATGGTTAAGGCTTTGTACAGATTTATAAAAAAGAACAATAATGATGGTTAAGGCTTTGTACAGATTTATAAAAAAGAACAATAATGATGGTTAAGGCTTTGTACAGATTTATAAAGATGAACACTTTCTATTCAAGGTTTGAATACATTTGTGGATATTAAGATGTCAGTTGTAGAGATTTACATAACATTGGTAGATATTTACATTAACATTACAATTTTAAAAGAGAGGACCTTGAAAATTAGTTAAAAGGGCACAGACGGCCCACAGTTGGTTAACGGAGCCCACCAGTGTCATGGGTAAGACTTTATCAAAAATATGGTACTCTTTAATCCGCCTAATAGCGCGCTCTACATGAATTCGCAGTCTTGCTATCGCTTGAGTCTTTCGTACTTCGTCTGCAGTGAAGTGTCCACTTGGGCCTAAAAAAGGAGGGACTACAAGGGAGACGTGTCTTTCAGAGAGAAGGTCCTTAATGAGAAAGCCTTTATCGGCCATTACCATATCTCCTTCTTCAAGAACAGAAAGAATACCTGATTTTTTGGTAATTTCTTTGTCAGATATTGAACCTGTATATAAATCACTGACAAAAGTCACTTCACCTGAGGGGGCAATACCTATTAAGCCCTTAAATGTGGTGTTCCCTTTGTAGTGTGAATAAATCGCTGAGTTAAGGACCTTGGAACTAGGTTTCTGTACATGAATTTCTGTGCAATCCAATACAACTCTAGTAGCTGGGAACGTGCATTTAAAACAATCTGGCATAAGTTCATCCACAGTTTTCCTTGAAGGCCACATTGGAAGTGATCCCAACATAAAATACAAAAAATTGGCCCAGGTCACACAGATCCTGCTTACTGTTGACTGTGATACATGGAAACGGGTTGCAAGATCCTGTTCAGGAAATCCCTGCCTCAACCTACAAAGAAAAAGAAAAAACTGGTCCATAGTGGACAATTTAGAGGCGCTAAAGCCTTGACGAAGTACCTCCCCACTTGTATGTTTAAGTCGCTGAGCCTGACTCCATCCCACCATATTTTCTGCAGTAGGTTGCAGGGCCATAAACACAGCTTTAAATGTATCATAATCTGGGAACCCTGTATAAAATGAAATCTGTTTATCGTCACCTTGAAAATTTGAAATCAAAAACCGTTCTTGTTGAAGCTCTAAAATTAAAAGTTCTTGATCACCGATGGTCTTGCGGGCTTCCTCAAGTTGATCTTGAAGTGAGGGAGGCAGTGCAGCATACTCATGGTCTGGGTGCGGAGGGGGCGTCTCTTCACTGGAAGTATAAGATAAACATATTGATGGACACATTAGGTGTTTTACAATGATACTCATGCTCAATTCATGTAACCAATTACATCTTTTACGTACCTCAACACATTCACACCATGTCGATCATCGAGATCCGTGGAAACATTACTGGAAATCATCAACAGAGAAATACGGTCACTACACAGTTAATAAATGCATTACAAACTAGTAACTTAATTCATCTTAATACTACCTTGCAGTTCTAACAACACTCCTCCTCTCTGGTCTGACAGAACTCCATGCAAACACAGTTGGCACAGCTCCCTGTTTCAACTTGGTGATGCCAGTCTTGCTCTTCACAATGCAGTCTGGGAGGAAATGCTCCGAGCACACTTTTGTGTATGCGTTTATCTGCATCAGCAAATAAAATACGATCATATAAACATTTTTACATGTATAATTTTATTGATCAGACTCAATCTGACTCCTGTACATCCTCCTCCTAGCTAGGAAAACTGATGTGATGTGATGTGTTTCCTAGGTTAGCTTGTGACTAGAAGCTAATACAAACAAGGTCACTCAGAATATGCTTATACTAGTAAATCTGTGGTGGTAGATTTTAATAACATACTAATAATTTTGGACTAGGCTGTATATTTCAACAACCTGGCTCTCTGCCTTAATCTATCTACTAAAACGTGCTAGTTCTAGCCTAGCTAACTTAGCTGCTAGTGATACAAGCTCGTTATGGAGACGGCTCAGCCTCACAGCACCAGACATAATAAAACTTACCTTAAAATTACGACCAGGATCCCTTCTGATGTTTATTATCCATTGTCGACGTAGTCCATGATCTTTGGGGAAACGGTGAAACGTTTGTCCTCTGTTTGATTTTTTCCTGTGTGATGAAGTGCATTGGGGAACACAGCAGTGAGGCGCCATTGCACAGAGAAATCGCGTTGTGAGAACAACCGGAAGTGGTAAGTGTACCCCTCAGGCTCGATGGAACGTTCGAGGTGAATAAGGCGAATAACAACCTCATGAAAAACTATTTCCTGATAAGCTACTTCCGGTTGTCAAAATAAATGTCCCGAACGTGCTATAATATCCGTTTCATGTTTAATCGCGTATTTATATATACAGTCTTACTTATAGTAAGAGAATGCTAAAATAAAAACAAAAAGTGAATTAAGTGTGTTGGATAATTGTTCAAAATGCATTATGCTAATTCAATATTTATTATGTTTTTTTTTTTATTGCTTCCTCTCTGCTACTGCAGTCCTGTGCATTATTCCTCTCCATTGTTTTGCCCCTAAAAAAATAAGAAATGAAATACCATGTATTTCCAATTACATATGAGCATAACATATAAATACATTTATAAAACACTTTTTTTTTTTAAATGATACAATATATTTTTTATTTTTGTGTAAGTCTAGGAGGTTGTCAAACGGCGCGTTCGAACCAAATGACTATTGGCTAAATGAGCTGTCAGTCATCTCCTAGTCCCGTGTGTTTGATTGGCTCCCTCCACAGTGAGGTTCGGTTGACGCATCACCGCTCAGCCTGTGGTTTTACTGACAAGCAGCGACGGTTATTTTTTATTTACATGAACAGAAAATCATAAACGTTGCTTCTTGCGAACGAGTTGACCGAAAAACGCACACAAGCGCAGGCTGAACATGGAGTCGTATGATATTATAGCCAACCAGCCGGTTGTGATTGATAATGTGAGTATGATGTCAGCAGCCCTCCACACCCAGTCTGTGCTAAGAGGCTAAAGCTAATGCCATTGTGCCAAACCCTGCGCTAGCCGGCCAATGCTAAATTAGATTTTTTGGATTTTATTTATTGTGCACAGTCTGATGCACGTCTAAACACTTCATCATGTAAAGCATAACAGTGCTTTTGTCTTAAATGCGTTATCCTGAGGCATTCGCTGCTCAGTATGATGTATCGGTATAAAGCTGATTTGTTGCTCATTTCAGTGGTTCTTTGAATGAATCACTCAAATCTCAAATAAATGATTCCACGTTGTTCATATTAAAGAAATATCGCAAGACGCATGGTTGTCAAAGAAAATCTATCAGATAAAAACCTTTATTTTAGCTAGAGTTGTTATTGTTGCCAAGATGGCTGTCTGTGACCCCGCCTTGTATTTACAGCCACATTTCATAGTTTGAAATAATTAATATAAATTACAAAATTGATTTTAACACAAGCCAGAAGAGTGGAGCAATAGATGGAGACCTATTAAGCTTCAACCTTTAATCAGATTTAAGGTGGGAGCTCTGTAACCTCAAAGCCTGAAGAATGAATGTCACAGGTTGCCAAAATTATGAAAACTTAGTAAATGTTAGTGGTATTTAAGGGAACATTGGGATGTTTTCTCACAGTGTCTCTCTTCTGGAGTCTATCTCTGGTTGAGTTTCTTGTTGCTCCCTCCAGCTCTGTCTCATGACTCAAGATCAAACAAGGAGGGTTCAGAACATTAGATGAATCATTTTACAACACATTCAGTGTTTGAGTTTTTATAGCCTAGTTTATACAGTTTACTGTTAAACATTTTTTTTACAGTGCCCGTGTTACAGTGTAATTATTCATTTAAGAACTGTGTAATAACAATTAACTGCATGTACTTACTATAGGGTTAGGTTTAGGGTTAGTTGTGTGTAATTATGCATCATTTATAGTTATTACAGTAACTAAATGTAACATTTGTAACAAGGACACTGTAAAATAAAGTGTTACCCATTTTACTTATAGTTATACAGGTTACTCCCTGTACAATTGGAGTTCATATTGGAGTTTCATTTTCTTTCTTTTTTTCTCTTACAGGGTTCTGGAGTTATTAAGGCTGGCTTTGCTGGAGATCAGATCCCTAAATACTGTTTCCCAAATTAGTGAGTAACCATTTGATTGGTATTACTACATTGAAAAAACCTTCAAAGTTTTTTTTAAAGAAATCATTTTATTCAGCAAGGTTGTGTTAAATCGATCAAAAGTGACAGTAAACACATTTATAATGTTGCAAAAGATTTCTATTTTAAATCAATGGCATTCTTTTGAACTTTCTATTCATCAAAGAATCCTGGAAATAAATGTATCATGGTTACCAGAAAGCAGCTCAACTGTTTTCAACATTGATATTAATAAGAATGTTTCTTTAGCAGCAAATAAGCATATTCAAATTATTTCTGAAGGATTATGTGACACTGAAGACTGGAGTAATGATGCTGAAAATTCAGTTTTGCATCACAGGAAAAAAATTACATTTTAAAATATATTAAAATAGCAAACAGTTATTTTAAATTGTAATAATTATTTCACAATGTTCTATTTTGATTGTATTTTTGATCAAATAAATGCAGCCTTGGTGAGCACAAGAGACTTCTTTAAAAAACATTAAAACAAAATACACACACAAATTGTGGTGTTATATTAACCAGAATGGTTTATTTCTAGTGTGGGGCGACCCAAGCATGTTCGGGTGATGGCCGGTGCCCTTGAGGGTGATCTGTTTATTGGACCCAAAGCTGAGGTAAAACTTTATTTAAAGTGCAGGTCTCTATTAAAAATGTGTTTTTTCTTGACATTCACAATGCATTTAACTTCCGTAATGTGCAACAGTATTCAGTAAATATTATTTGGTGGGTGTAGATTTAACCTGTGATGCTATTGGTTAATAATATTTTGTGCATGTCATCAGAAGAGAAAAGTTAATATAACGTGCAAATGAAAGGGGCAGTTTTGAATTTTGTAATCATGTAAAATCATAATGTGTTCGTTATATCTGTGGCATATGCAGGAGCACAGGGGTCTGCTGTCCGTGCGCTATCCCATGGAACACGGCATCGTGAAAGACTGGAATGACATGGAGCGCATCTGGCAGTATGTGTACTCAAAGGAACAGCTGCAGACCTTCTCGGAGGAGGTGTGGATTGAATTTATCTTCATTTTCATTGTATTAATCTTCACCAGAATTATTTTAGTATTATTTATAGTATTTATTCGTTCTAAAAAGTTTTTATTTTTATATTTGGGTTAGGGTTAGTTATCATTTTTGCAATGAGTTTTTATTTTATTTCATTTTTTTATATATATATATATTTTATTTTAAATATTTCTATTTGGCGTTCATTTATTTTTATTTCAGTTTTAGTAATTTTAGTACTTCAACGTAACTTATTTATTTCTGTTAGTTTCCAAGAAAACATTTTAAGTTAAACTTTTTGATCTAATTATTATGTTTAGATAATTAATAATTGTTCATTTTTGTAAAGCTTTTTTCCCCTCATTTTTAAGTTTTACATCTGATATGTATATTTCATTGGATCTCCATTTTATTTTAATTACCAAACATGTTTTTAATAGTTTGTTAACAGCACTGTCTTTAATAGTTTTAGTTAACAGCACTGTCTTGCGCCATATGTTCAGACATTTATATATTTATGTGTCTTTCAGCATCCTGTACTGTTGACCGAAGCACCACTGAACCCCAGTAAAAACCGCGAACGGGCGGCAGAGGTTTTCTTCGAGACCTTCAACGTGCCGGCGCTGTTCATTTCCATGCAGGCGGTGCTCAGTTTGTGAGTTCAGAGCTTTCAATGTCCTTCTTCCTGATATCACTCCCTCTCTCATGCAAACTCGTTTCCTGCCTGACAGATACGCCACAGGCCGAACCACAGGTGTGGTCCTGGATGCTGGGGATGGTGTGACACACGCTGTCCCCATATACGAGGGATTCGCCATTCCACATTCCATCATGCGCGTGGACATCGCCGGACGTGACGTCTCCCGATACCTCCGCCTACTCCTGCGCAAGGAAGGCTACGATTTCCACACTTCTGCAGAGTTCGAGGTCGTTCGCACCATCAAGGAGGTACGAGACTCCACATCTGGATTTATGACACTTTCTTTTGCGGTTCCTTTTTAAGGACAATTATAATCCAATCCAATCCACTTTATTTATATAGCATTATTTAAACAAACACAAGGTTTCCAAAGTGCTGTACACCACAACAATAAAAACACAATAGGATAAAAGTAATAAAATACGATAAGCACAATAAGATAAAAGTAATAAATTAAGTAATAAACTAAGATAGATGTTAGATGTGCCACTTTGAAGAAAATGTGAAAAAATGCTGTTTTATTTGTTTTCCAGAGAGCCTGCTACCTTTCCCTCAACCCCCAGAAGGATGAAACTCTAGAAACTGAAAAAGCACAATACACCCTACCCGACGGAAGCACTCTAGATGTAAGAATGAATTTACCAGTAGATGTTAGTGTATGCTACGATGGGCATAAAATGATGTATCATATCCTAGTTTAATTGAAATTCAGTAGAGGTTCAGTTCAGGTTCAAGTCAAAATTAAATGGCATTCATAACCCTCCATAATCTGATGTATTTTTTCTTCTTTGCAATAAAGTGCACTGATACTCACAGGCTAGTACTCATGTAAACCATTTGGTGTTACTCACAGCTGTTTGTCTCTCACAGATCGGCCCGGCGCGGTTCAGGGCTCCAGAGCTTCTCTTCAGGCCTGATCTGATTGGAGATGAGAGCGAGGGTATTCATGAAGTGCTGGCCTTCGCCATTCAGAAGTCAGACATGGATCTGCGACGCACCCTCTTCTCAAACATAGTGCTGTCTGGCGGCTCAACGCTCCTCAAAGGTAAGGCAAACATATCAGTCAAGAACTTCTGTCAGTTCTCCATCCAGTGAGAAAACTGAAGGTCTGTCTTGTTGTTCGTCGCAGGTTTTGGAGACCGGTTGTTAAGTGAAGTGAAGAAACTCGCACCCAAAGACGTTAAAATTAAGGTGACTGGCACATTTAAGGAATGTTAGCTTGCTTGAGCACTGTGTGTCGCTAAATAATAATAAAAAAAATTCTTGTTTCAGATATCTGCACCACAGGAGAGACTTTATTCAACATGGATAGGGTAAGAACATGTATATA